GATGTATAAGACCTGTGAGAGGGCAACAGCCTATAGATGTTAGTTTCAGATTTACGAGGGAAAAAATAGTCAGGTGGAGCCCCCCGGATGACCAGACTACATGGGAAACAGTGGCAAGATAGTTTGGAACTTGGTGTCATCCTTTTTCCATATGGCGTACCACTTATACATGGACAATTTTTATTCATGGAATTGGCGTATGTGGCATCATGCGACCTAATCGCCAGGGCTTCCCCCAATGGCTTGTAAATACCCGTCTTAGAAAGGGTGAAAAAGCCTGCTTGAGAAATGATGAATTGCTCGCAGTGAAGTGGAAGGACAAAGAGGACGTTTTCGTCCTGTCTTCCATGCACACAGATACGACCATTCAAATTACCAAGGCAGCTGGTGTTGTTGAGAAGCCCCTCTGTGTCCACAACTTTAACCTTAACATGGGAGGGGTGGACTTCAACAAACAGATGATGAAGACATACTTAGTTTTCTGAAAAGCCAGATGCAGGTACAAAAAAAAAGTGTCTATTTATTTCAATTGGCTCTGTACAACGCTTTTGTGCTTTACAAAGCAACTGGACGAAGTGGATACTTCCTAAAATTCCAGGAAGAGATCATCACAGCCAGTTTGTATTCAGAAGGTGCTATGGCCCAAACCCCCAATCCAGATGCAGTTAGCTGGCTGCATGCGAGGCATTTTTCCAATGAAATTCCTGGTACCCCCACCCAAAGGACACCCCCCAAAAAATGTGCTGTAGCAGACATGGAATTAGGCGTGACACCCGCTTTTTTTTGTCCCTCCTGTCCTGGCCAACCTGGTCTTTAGCGCTGCTACCATACACCAGTGGACTATTCGTATAGGATACAGCATGGTACAGTTCAGGTCACATATTTGCACAGGGTCTCGAAAGAGGTTAGGTAGTCAGGAAACTGGCTATTGCATTTTGATAGACCCTAATATCTGCTTGTTACAGTTAAAAGTTAAACAAAAAAAAATAGAACTAGAAAATAGTTGTCTTTTTGTTGTCAAGTTACGGTTATACTGTTAACCATTGCTTTTTTCTTTGCAGGAATGTCATTCAGCTGCAGCACCGATCTGTTTATTTTGACAGTAACAAGGACCAGCGACGTACTGGTACCTCACTGGACTTTGAGTGGTTATACCAGGATGATTGCAGCTGCAGACATCATCCTGGTATCATTTTTTCAGCCGGCGAATCAGCTTTCATGTAAAAGCAATACTAGTGGCTAATTAGCTGCAGGATTGCATTTGAAAGCAGTGGGAAGGCTGCGTGCCTTCCACAGCCTTCTCGAGCAGTCCCGTGCCAACGGGGGGAACCTGAGAATGCAACCGGTGTTTCTGCCAGCTGACCATAGGGTGACCGGAATGGTGCCAATCATCTATATAGTCTAAGAAATTGGAAGCTACGAGCATTTCATCACTTCAGTTTTGCAGAATATAAACATCGCCATTTGTAAATTGGGAAAGCATCTGATCACACCGAACTCTGAGATCAGATGATGCAAGGGCAGAGGCAATATCTACAGTCTAATAGACCCCAGATTTCTATAAAAAAAAAAGAAAAAAAGAACACCTGTCAATGCCTATTGCAGTTACAGGGGATATTTATATTCCCTGTGATAGCAATAGCAGTGAAGAAAAAAAAAAATGAAAAAGGGACAGTGTAAAAAAAAAACAAAAAAACAAAACAAAAACCCCACCCTCAACCCCCCTGCATTTGCAAGCGGTGACCCCGTGCAGGTATGTAAACAGCTTTGCACCATGCATGTGAGGTATCGCTGAACGTCAGATCGAGGGCAGTAATTCTAGCACTAGACCTCCTCTGTAAATCTAAAATGGTAGCCTGTAAAGGCTTTTAAAGCGTTGCCTATGGATAATACAAAATGTATGCAGTTTGTCACCATTGCATGGGGCTTGTGTAATTTTAAAGCATGTCATGTTTGGCATCTATTACTCGGCATACCATCATCTTTTATATTTTGCCAAATAATTTGCCAATATATTGTGTTTTTGTGCATTACAAGTACAAATTTTTATTTTTTTTTTAAAAATGTGCATGTGAAAAAATCGCTGTGCGAGTACTATGTGACATAAAAAATTGCAGGACTCACCATTTTATTCACTAGGGTGTTTGCTTTAAACAAAATATATAATGTTTGGGGGGATTTTTTCATGCAAACAAAAAGTGTCAAAAAAGGCTTGGTCTTCAGGTGGTTAGAAGAGTGAGTGATGTGTAGCATAAACTAATGTTGGGCATTCCCCCCCCCCCACAGAATTACATCTGCTACTTCTCCCGGGTATGAAGACACCACACCAACGTGAGAGACTTTTTGGCAGTCTAGATGCATACAGGACCCCAAAATCCAATAAGCACCTTCAGGCTTTTAAAGGGCTTTATTTCATTACACTTCCTGATTACCCACAGTTTCGGAGACCCTGAAATGCTAGAATAGTACGATCCCCCTACAAAAAGACCTGTTTTTGCAAAGTAGACACCCCAAGAATTTGATAAGAAGCATGGTGAGTATTTTGCAGATCTCGTTTGTTGCCACAAGTTTTTGAAAGCAAAGTAACAAAAAACATTTTTTCTTTTTATATTTTTCAAAACCTTGTGAGAAAAAAAATTAGAACTGCAAAATACTCCCCATGCCTCTTATTAAATTCCTTGGTGTGTGTACTTTACAAAAAGGGGTCACTTTGGGGGGGGTATGGTTGGTGCTATCCTGGCATTTCAGGGCCTCAGAAACTGTGATAGGTAGTGAAATGAGGAAGTTATGCACCCTCAGGCTTTCAGAGTGGTCGTTGGATTTCGGGCTCCTGAATGTGGCTAGGCTCCCAACAATTCCATGGCACATGTCAGCAATATAACATTTAAGTGACAACTTTGTGTACAAAAAAAAGAAAAAGGTGTCATTTTCCAAGAACTTATGGGGAAAAAAAAAAAAAAAATATCTTCCATGGACTTCAGATAGCTTTGAGGTGCTAAAATACCAGGGCAGTACAAAGTAAAAGCTGTGTAAATTCCAGTATCTATCCCATAGTTTGCAGACACTAAAACTTTCACACAAACCTTTACCAAAGACGTAGTAAAATACATTTTGGCCTACATTTATGACAAAGTTTGAGTTTATCGGATTTTTTTTTTTTTATAACAGAAATGAGAAAATATTTTTTTTTCCCAAAAAATTCAGTCTTTTGTTTATAGCTTAAAAAAAAAACAAAACAAAAACCCAGGTGATCAAATACCACCAAAAGGAAGCTGTATGTGTGAAAAAAGGACATAAAACTAAATTTATGTACAGTATTGCATGATCGCACAATTGTCAGGTTAAACTAGTGCAGCGCTGTACAGCAAAAAAATGGCATAAATTGCAGTATCTATACCAGTGTTTCTCAACCTTTTTTCAGTCAAGGCACTCTTTCAAATTATGGACAGTCCCCGAGGCACCCTTTCAAATTATGGACAGTCCCGAGGCACACCATTTCAAAATGGGGGCCTTTTAGACTATCCATTTTAAAAGGACACCCCATTCTAAAATGTGAAAAACTATTCTAATAGTTTTACATAATGCAGCAACATCCACACATGTAGGATACCCAACATTAGAGGTGATTCATTCTTCCAAAGCAAATACACTTTCACTCACTGGTACTGACTAGTATTCCTATGCTTCTCTTCTCCCTCCCATCACTCAGCTAATGTGACCTCAGCACTGACGGAGAGGGGAGGGTTAAACTAGGATGCTGTGCAGGCAGCTGACATCCTCATCAATTGGTGATGTTATTGGTTGGCTAGAAGGTCGTGTCGTGATGGTGCACAATGAAAACCTGTGGCTTTGTGTAACTAAAAGGCAGATTTGTTTCACTCGCTGGCTTGTATACAAATTTTGGGCAATTTTTAGATATTTTGCCAAGGCACCCTGATTGAGAAAGGCTGATCTATACCATATTTTGTTGATGCTATAACTTTAATAAAAAGCAATATACACTTATTTGGATTTTGTTTTTTTTTACCAAAGACTTAGCAGAATACATTTTGGCCTAAGTTTTTTCAAAATTTTCGGTCTTTTTTGTTTATAGAGCAAAAAATAAGAAAGCGCACAGGTGATCTAATACCACCGAAAGAAAGTTTTGTGTGGAAAAAAAGGACATAAATTTAATTTGGGTACAGCAATGCATGACTGTGCAATTACCAGTTCAAATAGCACAATGCTGAATAGCAAAAACAGCCTTTTCAGGTAGGGGGTAAATCCTCTGGAGGGCAAGTGGTTAAAAAAGTCCAGGACCCTTTCCAAAAATGCAGCAGCTGAAAAAAAGCGTGGTTTGAACGTGTCCCATAGGAAACCATGTTAAATGGACTGTAGTGAGTTTCTGCAAAAAGCACTAAAAAAAAACACGTGCGTGAACTAGGCCATATACAGCTTCTCTGACCTTTCAGAAAGTAGGGGGAGGAGAGCTGAAGTTACACTCTGCAGAGCTCATGGAGGAGAGCCAAGAGCTGACTGGAGGGATGGGGACCCCCTCCTTTATACAGCACACAGGAACAGAGCTAAGGCTGTCAATCACAGACTGTGTGCACCTTTTTACCTCCTGGTGTCAGGGAAAACTTGTCAGAACTGACTCATGCAGTTAGAAGAATGAGGCAGCAAACAGAAATGATACTTCATGATCTGGATTGAGACAAGTACAGACTAAAGACTGAGGAATAGTTTTGTTTTTCATATTTCGCGTCAGAGGTTTAAAATCACTTCAAACAACTGACATATATTCATTCATTAACTTGCTTACAGTGAACTTGGCATCAACAATGAGAGAAAATAGGCAAGAATGTAATAAGGTGACAAACCACAACTAAAGATTTGTAATCACCTCCAGACTGACTGAATGGGGAAGGGGGGCATGGAAATGGAGATGTGTGGAGACAAAATAGGCAATATATACAGATTTGTACAGATATTTTGAACAAAAAAATAAAAAAAACACTCACCTGCATGAGCAATAAGTCTGGCACCTACTAACTCTCCTACTAACACTGTAAGGTTAGGGGCTATCGCCATCATTCTGTTCTTGAGATAATCATAAAGCTGTGTTCTGTACTCTGAAATCTCAATCACCTGCACATAGAAAAAAAACAAAACACAGGATTAAATCAAACTGACTAAAATTAAACAAACATTTTACAGCAAATTTAAAGAGTTGTAGCCTCGTGAAAGGATTTACTTTAAGACTGAAAGACACATGGCTTAGTGTTTTGTACATCAGAGATAACCTGGTAACGGCTGATAAAACTGGGGATCACACTGCAGAGTTCACATGACAACACTGCATTTAGGATCAGCAGGTATCGTTCTGCAGGTAACAGATATAACAACCCACCTTCAATAACATCTTTAAACACAAAAATAGGGAGCAATTAAGACACATTTATTGTTAGGTTTAGAAACAATTACACCCAGCCTAGATTTGAAGAGCACTTAGTACAACTAAAATAATTCCACTTAAAAATCCTATTGGTACTAATTACAGATGCAAATTCTGAGGACATGGTTATTAAAATCATTACTAACACCCCGGTCACATAAAAGCAGATTTTGATTTCAAAATAGGGTGACATGCCGATTTTGTTGCTATTTGCAAGACATCTGACATAGATGTCTATGCAAATCACAACAGAAGTAGTGCATGCACTGCTTTAGAAATCAGTGCAGTTCCGACCAAGTCGGAACCGCACCGATATGACCGCTCTAATAGCAGACGGGTGTGACTTGGCATACGATTTACAAGCTGCAGGGCATGCAAATCGCATAAAAAGACGCACCCGATGTGACCGAAGGCTTAGAGCAGAAGCCAGGCTGAATTTTTTTTAAGTAGAACTATAGGCTTATGGAGATTTCACTTCCTGTCTGATAGCCAAACAGGAAGAGGAAATCCCTGCAATTTAAGGAAATTTCTTGGGGGCCCCAGGACACAAGAACTAGGGTCCCCACTGGGGACAACTCAAAATGTGGAATTTTCTTTTACTTTCAATAAGGGTAAACAGGAGAAAGAGGGCAAATCGGCTTAATGGGGACACAGACATAAATAAAAACTGACAGGAGTTCTAATCCCTCTCCACTCCATCAAAAACTTAAAAAAAAGTTTTGCCTTTAGTTATACTCTAAAGTGTACTTTCAGTGTTTTCATTTTTTTTTTGTAAACCTACTTCAATAAATTTTTTATTACATTCACATTTCAGTTTTCTAAAAGCATTTTTATACATATATTTTAGGTAAGCTAGGTGCCAGAGTCTACACTCAGTACATTTCAGTTTTTTGACCATCTAGAAGGAAAAAAAATAAAAAATCCTAAAGAACATTTCTTAGTAACTATCATAAAACAGTTTAGAGCAGTTGTAAAAACTAAAGGTTTTTTTTTTTTTTTTTTTTTTTTTTAACCTTCATGCATGAAGTTAAAAAAAACAAAAAACCTGTGTTCTGCTCCCACAGCCCCATTCAGCAATGTCTACGGGAGCCTCGTCTGTCCCAGGTTAACTCCCTCTCCTCAATGGCTGAGACAGCAGAAGGAGCCATTGGCTCCCACTGCTGCCAATCACAGCCAGTGTGCCAATGAGGAGAGAGAGAGGGGCCGACCTGCAACTCTGTGTCTTATGGACGAATAGAGCTGGACTCGGGAGCAAGCATGCACCAGTGCCCCCCTAGCAAGTGGCTTGCTAGTGGGGGCACTGGTCATGGGGGAGGAGCCTAGTGCACAAGCGGCGGACCCGTGAGGAGCAGGATAATGGCTAGTCTGTGCAAAACAGAGTGATTTTAGAAAGCACTATGATACTTACCTGGTCACACAAATGTAGAATGTTGTTTATATCCTCCTCAGATACTTCAGTACCCATAGAAATTTCAGCAGCAGCTTTAACTTCTGCCTCTACCTCCTCTGGCAGATACTCGGAGAGGTCAAATGTAGCAAAATTCACTCTATCACCTATTGGAAACGAAAAAGGTAAAGGAGCAAGCTATGAACAAAATACTGAATTTACTACAACATTTAGAATGATACATAGTCCCTTACTGAGACTAGTACAGAATCTGTAGTTACCTAGTCTAAGCAAAGCAATTAGCAACAAGTGTATAGTTATTTGTAACAACTCTGGCCTCAGATGAGGTAGTGACTGAAATTGCCTTCATAGAAGTATCAGGCAATTAGATATAAATCATCATCACTGGCCAGAGGTTACCATAAAACTATTTTGAGAGATTCAAAAAGAAATCATCCGCTCTTGCCAAGGCTGTGACTTCGGAGTTTAATTTTTGACGCATAGCCTGGCAGCCACAATATAATAGAAATTTTGGCCAAGATTTTCAAACTATATTCATGGGTATTTAAAATAGGAATGAAGAGCAAAACCTTTATAGATAAAAATACATTATAAATATATATATTTTTTAACTACTGATCACATTCCCTCTGTTCTCAGCTGCATAAAAGTTAGGGGAGGAGAAACAGCAGGACACTGATCTTCCCAGTGAATGGCAGTGCATCTCAGGACAAGTTTGATCATTGGAGGAAAGCAGAGTTCCCAGTGTAGCTAGAGAACTGACCAGTGTGTTAAATTTTTTTAACAGGAAAGCAGAAGGACTGGCAGGGACAACAGGGAGTTAAAACAAAGGAAGTAATAGAAATTGGAAACTTTTTCATACAGGTACATGGTTCAGCAGGCATTTATCAAGAATATAAAATGTTGGGTTTACATATTCTTTACTAGATTTTAAAAGGTACAGTTCTTCAAACTCTCTTGGTAGAGTATTTTGGAGCCTTACTATTTCAATACACTGAAATGATCAAGCTTACATATTACACTTTTCAAGTCTAAACAGAAAATGTAGATCAAGCCACTAACATTTTAAGTTACAATTGTCCTAATATGTCTATTTGAACACATCCACAAATCAAATGCAAAATAATTATACTTTATGACTCATATTTTGTGAGCTGACATGAACTTACCAACAGCACAAACACATTTGCAGTATGCCAGATTATCTGTGATTATTTTGCCAAGCTCAGGGAAGTGCCAACCATACCATTCTCGGCAACGCATTATGTAATTGTTCAACTCTTTATCCAAATCATCCAGAAGAGCTTGGGTTAAAGAAAGAAGACAATTAATGTTACAATAAAAATTACATTTTCATCAATAAAGCTACTTTATCACAAAACTTTACTTACATATGGCTTGTACAATCATTGTATCCACTTTGTCTGGACTGAACTTGAGTTTGTATCGAGAAAGACTGTATAAAAATGATTACAATTAGCATCAGAAGTAATTCAAGCAAACTGAAGAATTATAATATTTATTGCCATCTTTGGTACAGGTTTACTAAAGTCACAAACCGTATAGGGGTTTTTTTTTTTTTACATTTACCTGGTATTCTAGCCGGGAAAAGAAAAAAAAAAAAAAAAAAAAAAACCACACAAAAAAAAAAAAAAAAAAAGTATATATATATATTGCAGCTTAACCAGACCTTTGATGTGGTGGCTTTCCTTAACTTACTTTTTACATGCATTTTTCACATGATAATCTTGCAATTAACACTCCCTCTCCTATGGTGGCTACATTCTCTTCACTGTATCAAAGGAGGGAGAGAGCTATGGTTGTCATACTAGGTTGTTCCACTGATCTGGACTACAAGCACATCCTTTTGAATTAGTATTTTGAAGCAGTAGTAAACTCCACTTGCTCACTTGTGCCTAGAAAGTAAGCTGATAATAAAGCTAACCTGTAGGTACAATGAATATATATCTTTTAACCAAGCACTGTCTAGAAGCCATTCACAAATTCAGCAGCCAGTGACATCACCGGCCCATGGGCACTGCGCTCTGATATGAGGGCACACTGAATGTGCCGACAATCCACAACACTGCTACAACTGTGACTATCGTACGCAAGAGTGATATCACCGCAGCTTGGCCATCCAAACAGCCCAGAACCTGCTAACCCAGAAAACAACCAGGTGAAGAAAGAAGCCCTGGAGACAAGTGCTGTGGGGGTACTACTTTTTTTTTTTTTATAGACTTCACTACCGCATTAACCACTTGCCACTCGCCCACAATACATTTACTGTGGGCTGCACATGCAGACTGAATCTTGGTACAGGTACATCATCCAGTTTTCCCTGAATTAGTGGCACACAGCACGTCACTCCCATGCTCTGAGATAACAGATTGTGGCTCCTTGTACCTGGCCACTTTGAGAGGCTCGGGGATCATGTTATCGCTATGTGATCACATGAAAACAATGTTAAAGCTGTTATGAAATAATCTCTCTTTCATACCAGCTCTGCTTCCTATACAGTGATGCTGTGATTGGCCCACAGTTATCACATTATCTGGGCCAATCACAGAACCCTGTACTATGTGATTAGCTGTAGCCACTTAGAGATCACTAGTAAATCACAGCTATTAAAAATGTAACCCATGACAGTACAAAAACACTGATGTTACAATGATTATCACTGTAACAGCAAAGTGTAAAAAAAAAAAAAAAAAAAAAAAAAACCTTGATCACCTATTACCCCATAGCTGTACAGTGATAATGGTGAAAATGAGTCTCCCCCCCATGCTGTCACCAATCCGTGTACCTAATCATTGTAAAAAAAAATGTGCCATGGCTCTTACTAAACACCTATGTCTGTCTACTTTCCAAAAAGGGGTCATTTGTGAGAATATGTACTGTCCAGGCATTTTAAGGGCCTCAAGAAATGAGACCGTCAGTACATCAGGATTGATCAATTTTCAAGTATATATACCACAGTTTGTAGACACTATAACTTTCACACAAATCAGTTAATATACACTTATTGGGATTTTCTTTGCTACCAAAAGACATGTAGCAGAATACATTTTGTCCTATATTTATGAAAAAATTTGTTTTCTTACAGCATATGTTTTATAACGAAGTAAAAATAATTTTTTATAATTTTCAGTCTTTTCTCATTTATATAACAAACTAAACACCTAGTGGAGATCAATTACCACCAAAAGAAAGCTCTATTTGTGTGAAAAGATTATATAAATTTCATTTGGGTACAGTGTGACCGCGCAATTTCCAGTTAAATTAGCACAGTGCTGAATAGCAAAAAATTTGTTTGATCATGAAGGTAAAACTTTCCAGATGTCAAGTGGTTAAAGCTTAGGAGATAGAAAGAAAAAATGATTTGTGTTTTCAGTTCACTGTAAAGTTACAAGGACACGTCTACTTAAAGATAATGGCCACCACATCTAAGAACTGAAAAGTTGCAATATATTACATTATACAAGACCCAACTCAAAGTGCAAGTGAAAGGACCTTGCAGCTAATGGCCACATCTGCAGAGCCCTGGACATCCACAGTATCAGGTGTACAGGAGCCTGTGGGTTAGAAATCTGAGAAATTTGTGGCAATTTTGCCAAGGCTCCCCTGAAGAACCCAGAAGACCCCCCAGAGTGCCATGGGCTGCTAAGTGATATTCTCATGGCAAAATAAATGCTTGAGTGTTCTGATGTAACACACTTCGTCATCCACCTGACACTGTGCTCTGAATGATGGAACTTTTATGCCAAAGTTGAAAGTTAGACATCTGATAAATGAATACTCACATTCCTAGCTTGCTGATAGTTTACACAAAATTAATACTATGCAGGGGGACACGCAAATAAAGTGTACTGCAAGTAATACAGATATTCTCATATCAGCTGTAAATCCACAAACTTGGTCGAATAACCAAGACAAACCAGTCTCATCTTTCTGTATTGCTGATCCCTATATGGATCCTGGCTTCCCCTGTCATGGACTGCATACCCACGGAGCGGTTTTAATGAATTGGAAACTACAGGAATGGATCACACCCTCTGACCTGTATAGCATCCTACAGCTAACTGCAGTGCCAAGGTGAGCAGCCAAGCTGGATCCAGTAACAAAGGCAACAATTCAGGCAATCTACATAGTGTCCAGTCCTGGTACAAGGTATTCGTAGAATAGGTTCATCACTCAGGAACACTAGTAAAAAAACTAAGGCCTCACATTGTGGAGGCACGTTATAGTAGTAAGGGGGGGGCGCGGGAGTGTCCAGCAGTTTTGCCGGTGTCGGATCCCCTGAAGGTAGCAGGCTATAACACAGGGTCTATAGCCTGCATCTTGTTCTGTACAATTAAGATAAAAATGCTTACAAATTAGGTACAGCTGAATGAGTCAACACGGACTACTATGCTTAACAGAGCTAATATTCTAAGTTTAAAAATCAAGGCCGCTAAAATACAAAACCACAATGGCAGCTTCCAAATTACACCCGACAGATTCTCATGTCATCTCATTACCACCTTTCTCCAACTATGGTCATTGTTATTACCGATTAAAACGGGTAGGAAACTAAATGGAGATAAACTGCAGTTACCTGTGGGCCAAACCAAGAGACATTGCAGACATTTCCCTGGTAGAAAGCCCTGCAACGAGGCCATCAATCTGGTTGCGGATACCTCTCATCAGCTCTGCCACCATTGTATTGTGCACACAGCTTAGGTTCACTTTGTCCTGTAGAGATAAATTAGAACAAACTTTCAGACAAGACCATCATCTTAAGCCATCAAAGAGGCAATTCATCACTTACACAATGTTGGTTTTCTTGCATTTTAAATGAAAAGCAGAAGCCAGAGTTTAAATCAACCTTTGACTTCTGGATTATTACTATGATGTTCAGCATAACAGGGCAAACGAAAATTTTTTGAGGCGACACGTCAGACCTAGAGAAGGCAAGATGAAGAAATGTGCAAAGTAATCCCTCAAACCAGAGGAGATTTTTCAAAGTATGTTTTCTATTCCTGTGGCCAGATTGTTTTCATGTATAACAGGTGTATTTTAAAGAACTCAGGAGTAATTACTACACCTTAAAAGTTTACCTTTTGTGTAAGAAAAAGCACATTTGCAGGTAAAAAAAACAAAAAACAGGATTTTTGATACTCACCGTAAACTCCCTCTCTCTTTCGTTCATTGACTGAAACAGCCTTTTCTCTGCTAGACCATTTTGCTTTAGGGCACCAGTCCTTTTTTCTGGTGTCACTTCTGCACATCCTATCTGGGGCTGAAACACGTACAGGCAGCCTCTTCTTCCTGGGATGTGTCTTGCAGAGAGGAGCGGGCAGGAGTACCCGCTTCCAAGGGTGCAATTCCAGGATCCTGCATACACTCAGTACAGCTGTCTGCCTGTACCTCGTATGGACAGGCAGTTACTGAATAGCAGGAAGAATCAATGAACTACGAGAGTGCTCACCAGGTACTGGGCCCTCGCAGTTTATTGAGAGTTACAAGCCTTTAGATGCAATTTGAGTGAATGAATGATATGAAAACTGAATGATGTGGCCATGTGGGCAGAGACCCTGCGCCAGTTTCAAACTGACAGCCCCCCCCCCCCCCCCTTACAGAGAGGCGAGCATTAGCAGTGGGAGTTGGGTGCATAAGAGCATGTTACACCCTAAATATGGGTGTAACATGCTCCCATAGGTGAACAGCTCATCAGTGTGAAAGCAGCCTTATAGGGGGGCTCCAAAAGTTAATTTACATTTGCAGTGGCCAAGCGTGTACACATGTCAAAGCTGCAGCAAGAGTTATACGTCCTGTCATAGTTGGGTGTAGCAGCTATCAAACATGACCCATTCAAATGAATGAGGCCGCTCTGCAAGTGCCCTGCAACCCTGTGAAGTATGGCTAACAAGGGATAAATCATGCAGCGCTGTGTTGCTGTATCACCACCTGCTTTAACCCCATGGACCCCACAGAAGCATGCAGCTGCGGGGCGCGTGCAGAGTGCCCCATTTACCTGAATGGGTTGTGAGTGCCCACCAAAAGCAACAGGGAGCTTAATTCTTGCTGCAGCATGTGTACACCTTTGGCTGCTGCCTCAGCAGATAAAGGGGGTAGGGATAGGGGGTGTGTGAACGAGCCCCAATGGCGCCGATGCTGTACAGGACTAAGCTGATTCACAAGTGGAGCAGGCACTGCTGCTCCTCTGAAAAGCAATCCCAGTGTGTTTGACAGCTGGTGAGGAGGCAGTATGTTGCCTTCTCACCTCTTGATTTAAACCCATGACTGCCTTGCAGCGCATGCAATTGCGACACATTAGTATGGCAATTAGAGGTTTAAAGTGATTCTAAAGGCTTATTTTTTTAAAAGCAAAAATAACAAACATATCTATACTTAACAGCTGTGTGCAGTGGTTTTGCACAGATCAGCCTGGATCTTCTTCTTGGGTTCCCCACCAGCACTCCTGGCCACTCCCTCCTGTCGGGTGCCCCCACAGCAAGCAGTTTGTTATGGGGGCACCCGCTGCTCTGTGTGTCCATTCACACACAGAGCTGTGGCTTGGCCTCGTCCCCTCTCTCTTCTCATTGGCTCACTGGCTGTGACTGACAGCAGTGGGAGCGAATGGCTCCCGCTTCTCTCTCAGCCAGTAAGGAGAGGGAGTCCCGGGATAGCCAAGACTTCAGTGCACATCACTGGATCAAGAGAAGGCTTAGATGAGTATTGGGGGGGATGCTGCACAGAGAAGGTTTTTTTACCTTCATGCATAGAATGCATCAAAGTAAAAACTTCTGAGTCTTTAGAACCAGTTTAAATCAAGTGTGAGGAGGAGACACTGGGAGACACTTTGTCCAGTGCCTCACACCTGATATAAACTGGCTTCTCCCATGTTGTTCAGGTAGTCCTCCACCGCGAAGGATGCATACCCCTGCTTTAAACCTAGTTGTGCCTCTACTGAAAATCATTATAAAGCCTGAACTCTTTGAAATAGGCAATACTGGAATCAGTGAGAGATGCAAGGACTAGTTCACGGTTCATGCTGCGAACCAAACAAATAATTTTGTGGCTGGCTGACCCTTTAAAATCTATTTTCGGATAACATACCTTTATAACGCCTCCAAGCTTGGCATCCGCAATTGCTAGTTGCTCATGTGCTTCCTTTGCAGCTATTTTTTTAAGGACTTTTTTCAAGTTTTTGCTGATCTTGCCCTCAACCAGGGCAGTGGCAGCTGTGTGTGTAAAAAAAAAAAGTTTATATCCAACATTCGTGTAATGCATCCTATCCACAGCTAGAATAATTATGCCTCAGTGGTAGTGACGAAAAGTTAAAGTTAAATCATAATATTTCAGGTTAACAAAAATCCATCACTGGCAACTGTAAACTTTAATATAAAAATTGCGGAGCTTAGAATATTTACCAGCCAATGCTTCTGTTGTGTCCTGAAACTTTTCAAAGTGTTTAAGCTTAACTCTATAGCAAGGGAAAAAAAAAAAAAAAAAAAGTAACCACTTTTATTTTACTCACAAACTGTCTAAAATACAATCTCTACACAGAAAACTAATGGATTACAGAGTTGGACAAGTCTGGGAAACCAGATAGTCAGATCTCTCATTAAAGATGATCTTTTTTAGTCTATTTCTATTACTGAAAGAGGAAAACACAAGCCCTATGGCTTTTTATATATGCTTTCCAAATACCATATACAAAGGATCATGTGGCCACGGCTTAGTACAGTACTCTGTGCACCCTTGATTAAAATAAGATTTCAGAACAGCACAGTTACTATTTGTTGCCTCAGTGGTAGTGACGAAACTGTATTTAATCACTGTTGTTCATTCAACAAAAATCCATCATTGGCAACATTTCAATATTAATTAAATTTACTCACATTGGTACAAAATATACCTGCGCTTTAAAATAAGGTAAAGAGGAACCTAGAACCAAACCAGTAATGAAAAAAAACCATTGCTGTAACACTTTAAAACTATAAAGTGACAAAATATCTTCTAAGGCCCCTTTTACACAAGGAGGAATCTGATTTTCTCAGCAGGGGATCTATCCGCTGATCCTTCGCTGAGTAGAGTAGAGCAGAGCGGGAGCACGACAGGTACAGTGTCCACTGAGTTTATGCAGAAACTCCCTATTTAACTGCAACTTGAAATCAGCTCCTGGTAAAACGCTTTCACCTTATTTATTTCCAGCAGAGAATTTCAACTGAAATGAACATTGTAATCTATATATCATTTAAATTAAATCTCCTCAATTGGAAGTTCTGTGTAGAGTTCCCTATATACCTTTATGTAACTGATGCTCTGCTGTAAGCAGTTAACTGTATTGTGGTGGACCCTATAGTAACACAACACCAGCAGCTCTTCTGCCCCCTATCCAAACTAAAAACAAACTGACTAGAGTTTATGTGATACGATGTGATTAAACTCAGCACAAATGCTAGGTAGAACTTACACTTTGTTGGCCTTCTCTGGAGTTTCAAATTCTTTCCATATACTATCTACTTCCTGTAACTTGCTCTCATCCAGGACCTGTTAAAAAAGATATTGTAAAGATTACAGGTACCCAACAGAAGATGGGCAGGATTAGTTATAAACCGATATGTAAACAATAAAAAACAATGCTAGAAAGATCACAAAACCAGTGTGACATATACAAAGGTTCACGTTAGCATTTTACATGCAACATTACCAAAACACTTCAATATGAGAACAGGCAAATCAAAGGAAGATAGGAATGCGACCACCTCAAATGGTAAATGCAACCACATAAATGCTGTGAAGAAAGTCTGCTAGAAAAACTTACCATGTAGAGGTTTTACCCTTCCTCTATGAAAATATCATAGCATTATTCTATAGCAGTAGGTGAAAGTCTACCCCAATTCATCAGACTATCACCTACTCTCCTCTCCTTTAGGTGCACACTGAAAACCTACCTCTTCAGGGAAGCCTACCCCGCCCTCAGCTAATTGCCGATCTCCTCCACAGCTATCCCTCCCGTACCAATATCCCCTCCCCTAGATTGTAAGCTCCAAGGAGCAGGGCCCTCGAACCCCTCGTGTATCGCATTGTATTGTATTGTTATTGTACTGTCTCGTGTACTGTCTCCCATTGTAATGTACAGGACTGAGCGAACTGTTGGCGCTATATAAATCCTGTATAATAATAATTCTACAGTTTGTATGTTAACAGATTGATAAGAAATCTAACATCTTAGAGTTGTCACTAAAACAGAAGATATATAGTAAATCTTCCAATCAGCGCACTTGTTTTAATGACAACCAAAAGTGGCTTTCCCTTTACTTTGGATAAAATTCCACACTTTCTGTTGTATAGTTCTAGGAAAATAAGTGATAGAAGTCTAAAACACACACACACACACACCCCTGCCAAAACCCCCCCACCCCCTCGTTTGGGGTGCATTTTTCAAAGGTTGTCGTGTGACTAACAGAAGGTTTTACTCCTTTATGACCAGGCCATTGTTTTTGCTAATCAGCACTGCGCTACGTTAAATGGTAATTGCACGGTCATGCAATGCTGTAACAAAACAAAATTTCTATATTTTTTCCCACAGAGCTTTATTTTGGTGGCATTTGATCATCACTGGGTTTTTTATAATATAAAATGAAAAAAAGACAAAAAATTTGGAAAAAAAAAAAAAAAAAACTTTCTGCTATAAAACATAACCAATAAAAGATTAAAAAAAAACATTCTTCATAAATTTAGGCCAAAATGTATTCTGCTACATGTCTTTGGTAAAAACAAGATCCCAATTTCAGTGTATATTAATTGGTTTGCAAGAAAGTTATAGCGTTTACAAACTATGGTAGATATACTGGAATTTTTCTTGCTTATGTTTTTGTTATACTACCAATGGCAGTGATCAGCGACTTATAGTGGGACTATAATAGTGCGGATGGTAATCTGACACGGGGGGGGGGGGGGGGGGGGCGGGACTAACTGACATTAATATAGTGATCAAGCACTGTGTGCCTAGCAATATGGAATGCGTGTATTATGTGCTGATTTTTACTAAATACACTGAGTACACTAAATACACACAGAGCTGAATTGCTGGAATCATTGTTACATGATCTTTAAAAAGGTAGTAAACTCTCACAAAAAAACAAATCAAGAAGAAGAAGAAAAAAAAAAAAAAAAGATTCCCCCTGCAAGATAATACCATAATGTGCATTGCATACTATCACATTATGTGAAACTTGCTTTAAAAACTAAGCCCACTGTCACCGCTAACAAGGCTTCCATCTTCACCCGCTCCTTCTCCAAGTTTGTGGGCTCTGGCGGCTTGAATGGCTGAGAGTGCAAGAGCCGATACTCTACACAGCTAAATATCTCCTATTTAGGAAATATTTACAGTACTTACAGGTACAGCCTTATTATACGATTACATGTAGGTACAAGTTAAAAAACAGACTTTACTACCACTAATGACTGCAAGGTGATTTATACCTTGCAAGCAAAAAAAAAAAATGTGCATAGATAAAGGCCCCCTTCACACAGGCACAGTCTGGTCCAATCAGTGGTGTAATAGTTTCAATGATCACCTGCTGAATCGAACAGAATGAATGTCACTTCTGCGACATTCATGTTTATTCAGTTTTCTAAAAATCAAAAATACGTACAGCTCTAAAGCAATTACCATAGATAAATATCGTAAAAATAAAGTGATTCTAGTGCATTTGATTCATTTCTACGGTGCTTTTTGCGGTCCGTTTTGCTTTTCTGCACATGCGTTTTAGAAGCGTTTTTTCCTTGTTGCTAGGCAGATTAAAGTGCATCAAAAACGCACTACATGCTTTTCTGCAGCGTTTCCATTGAGGTCTATGGAATCAAAAACACAACTTTTTTTTTTTTTTTTTTTTTTTTAACGCAGAGTCCCTGACCCTTTCCAGAAAACACACCAGTTAAAAAGGTGGAGTTGTGAATGTGTCCCATAGGAAATCATGTTAAATGGACCGTAGTGCGTTTCTGCAAAACGCTTTAGTGTGAACCTAGGGTTATTTATTTCAGGTACCTATATAGCGCTGTCAATTTATGTAGCGCTTTACATATATATATTGTACATTCACATCAATCCCTAACCCTCAAGGGGCGTACAATCTAAGGTCCCTAACGCACATTCATATACAAGGGCCAATTTAGACAGGATCCAATTAACCTACCAGCATGTCTTTGGAGTGTGGGAGGAAACCGGAGTACCCGGAGGAAACCCACGCTGGCACAGGGAGAACATACAAACTACAGGCAGGAGGTGCCATGGCTGGGATTTGAACCAACGACCCTAGTACTGCCAGGGGGAAGTGCTAACCATTTAGCCACTGTGCTGCCCATTAGGCTCAGTTCTCACTGCCGCTGCTTGGGATCAGACCTGTGAGTTGCCAAGTAGCATGACATGTGAAATCCCATGTTCATAAAAGAGAGCTGTTCTAATTAGCACTACTGAAGTCGCTCTGATGTTAGAAAAGGTTCCTGTACTACTTCCAAGGCAACTTCTATATGCGATTTGTGCTGGAAGAGCCAGAACCTCATCTATACTGATGTGATTTGGATCCGACATTACAGGAAGATTACCCGAAGTCACATGGCATGAAAGTAATGCATCAAGTTGTACTCAGATCGCCAGCAAATCGACAGGAAATCACCTGGCAAAGTCGCACGACTTTCAGGTCACAGTAGTGTGAACCAAGCCTAGGAGCTCATTGACATCAGATATAATCAAATGTGTTTTTAAATAGAGTCCAAGTGCCTATGCAGGAAAAAGGTTTCACAGTGAGCCTCGTTTACACCATCGCAGTGATTTCAAGTGCATTAAAAAAAAAGTACGAGTGCTACATCACTAACAGGCACCTAAACACATCTCAGAAAAAAAAGCCTAAAAACACTACACTGTGAACATAAATGAATGTAAATGGGCCCTTAGAGGGCTATTTATCAATGCATTCACCTAACAACTTTCACACAAGTGTCAATTAGAAAATAAATGAATCTGAGGCGAAAGTTGTGTGAAACCATTGCTGATTAGAAAGACTGCACTCTGTATAACTTTCAGGCATTACACTTCAATTGTACTGCAGCCCCTCTACATGACCTAGGAGCCTCTCATATAAATCCAGAGGTCAGCCATCATTAGACTTCCCCAGCCACGCTCACCACACAGTCCCATAGGACACCAATATCCTAGAGCACAGCGAGGTGACTGAACTTAGACGGGGCCGCCATGTGGCCTGACCGCCACGTGGAAGCTGCTCCTTGTTTCCTCTGACCGGGATCTAGCTCTCCATTACCTTAAATATGGCGTAACCCGCCGCGGTCTCGAACAGTACCAGCATGGCTGAACTGTGATGTCTACGGGACTCCGAACCCGGTCACAGCACTCGAATCCGCGCAGAACAGACACGTGTGAGCCCTAACTTTCCTGCACATGCGCACACAGGACCGCTACAACCTCAGCATCACTTCCTGTTCCGCGGCGGACGAGCCGCCCACTTCCTGTCGCTGAGATGGCATCATTGGCGAAGGCCTTTTGCACATGCTCAGTAGAAGAGGAGTGCTAGGGAGAAAGGAATAGTGAAGTGCTGCTGACATAAAGCCTCGCATGTAGTGGTGATAGGTTGTGTCTGTGAATAGCCGGTGTTTGCTCTATGTAGTATGGTGTACAGTGAAATTATTATTCTAGGTTTTATGGGGAGACCTACATTTTTAACCACTTGCCCTCCAGATTTACCCCCCTTCATGACCAGGCCATTTTTTGCATTACAGCGATGCGTTACTTTAACTGACAATTGCGCTGTCATGCAACGCTGCACCCAAATGAAATTTACATCCCTTTTTTCCTCACTAATTGAGCTTTCTTTTAGTGGTATTTGATCGCCTGTGCAGTTTTTATTTTTTACACTATTAGAAAAGACCAACAATTTTGAGAAAAAAACAATATTTTTGACTTTTTGCTATTAACCTCCCTAGGGGTCTGATTATGTCCGTATTTCTGTGCTGAAAGCGGTACTTTTTTGCATGGAAATATGTCGTTTTTTATTGTAGGCCTGTCATTCTTAGGAATAACTCACTGAAATCTGTCCAAACAAGAGTCTAGTAAACATCCCGGGTAGAATAAAACTTGAAACACGAAATTATAATAATCATAAAAAATATTAATATAATAAATTTAATTCAATAATATAATCAAAGCAAAAAACACTGAAATTTGAAATATAGCGCCAAGTTCGCACATCGTTGAGCTCAGTCACAGAATTGTTTTCAGTGTCTGATGACGAATTTCCCCACAAATCATTATCACTCAATTCTGCAAGTGGTTCTAATTTACTATCGCTGTTCTCTAGCTGGTCTAAAACCGCTTTGGACCTAAAAGGACACTTTTTGGACTCCATGGACATTGGTTTACATGAAAGTTATAGCGTTTACAAATGGCGGTATAGATACTTTTTAAAAATAATTTTTTTTTTTTACTAATAATGGCGATCAGTGACTTATAGCGGGACTGCGACGGACATTCTGACACTGGGGGGAACTGACTTGGTGTCACTGACATCCCCAGTGACACCAATACAGTGATCAGTGCTAAAAAAAGCGCTGACACTGTACTAATCGCACTGGTCAGGAAGGGGTTAACATGAGGGGCGATCAAAGGGTTAACTGTGTGCTGGGAGTGTTTTACTAGGGGCGGTGTCTGTGTGCTTCACTGTAAGCACACTGCTCTGGATGGCTGTGCTGTGCTGTGCACAGCCATCCAGAGCAGTGTGACCGAGCCAACAGGGAGGAGGACTGTTAATAAACAAAGCAGCCCTCCTCCCCATCAGAGATCCTCGGTAATCACCGGGACCCGGTGATTGACAGCCGCGGCTGCGAATGGCGGAGCGCACGCGGCTCGTGTGCGTCCCCTACCCGGAAATGCAAAATCACGTATATATACATGATTTTGTGCACCTCTGCCGCCCTGTAGCAGCATATCTGCTTTAGGGTGGTGGAGAAGAGGTTAAGATATCTTTATCTCTTACCTCCGCACTGAATCTGAGGTCATTAATAAAATACAGGCTGTGGCAGGGATCCTAAGGGTCCTTTCACATAAGTGTCATCAATTCAGTTACTTTTTTGCCAAGAAAAAAAAATGATGAATACAGATTCAGGTTACATTGTTACTATTATTATAAAGGATTTATATAGTGCCAACAGCTTGCGCAGTAGTTTACAATATAAAGGGAGACAGTACAATTACAATAAAGTTCAGTACAGAATGAATAAGAGGGCCCAGCTCATGGAGCGTACAATCTAAAGGAAGGGGGAGGTGGTACAAAAAGATAACTGCAGGGGATGATCTGATGGAGGCAGGGGCAGACTGACAACTCATGGGGCCCCCGGGCAATAGGGGATCATGGGGCCCCTATGTCCTTGCCCAAACTCAAAAAAGCCTATGAAAAAGGTACCAGGGGCATCTCATGGGGCCCCCCTACTGACCCTGGGCCCTCGAGCAGTGCCCGAGTTTCCAAATGGTCAGTCCGCCCCTGGATGGAGGTGACTCAAGTACAGTTCTTAGGTGGAGGTGGGGTAGGCTTCCCTGAATAAGTGAGTTTTCAAAGATCACCTAAAGGTTGACCAGACATACTGGGATAGGGAGTTCCACGGGATGAGAGAGGCTCTGGAGAAGTCCTGGAGGCGAGCATGGGAGGAGGTGATGAGGGAGCTAGAGAGCAAGATGTCTTTGGAGGAGCGGTGTGGGGTGATTTGGACGATATCTGCGGATGAGGTTGGCGATGTAGCTAGAGGCAGTAATGTGGATGGCTTTGTATGTTGTGGTTAGTAATTTGAATTTTATACATTGGGTTAGTGGAAGCCAGTGGAGGGATTGGCAGAGAGGGGCAGCAGTCGTTGATCGGTTAGTAAGGTGTACAAGTCTAGCAGCAGCATTCATAACAGACTGAAGGGGGGATACCCTGTGTAGAGGTAAGCCAGTGAGGAGGGAGTTGCACTAATCAAGGCGGGATATAACCAAGGCGTAGATAAGTTGTTTTTTTGGTGTCATTAGTCGGGAAGGGGCGGATTTTGAAAATGTTGTGAAGGTTGAGGTGGCAGGATTTAGTCAGTGATTGGATGTGGGACCCAAAGCAGAGGTCAGAGTCTAGGATTACACCTAGCACCCTGGCGTGTCATGACGTTTGCACATCCATCTTCAGTTCATTTTGCATCTGTTTCTTTTAGTTCTCATCTATTTACATCCACTTGGCCATGGATGTACATTGTGGTTTGGTCTGGATCTGTGTGAAAAACTGACAGTGGACACAGACTAAACTCCAATGTGCAAGGGCCCTTAAAGTGGAACTTTACCCAGAACAACCTGTAGCACTCTCTAGTGTACAGTTGCAAGAAAAAGTATGTGAACCCCTTGGGATTACATAGAGTTTTGCATGAATTGGGCATAAAATGTGCTCTGAAAGTCATCTAAGTCACAACAATAGAAGAACACAGTCTGCTGAACATAATACTACACAAACATTAGATGTTGCCATGGTTTAATTGCACATAACATGTAAACATTCACAGTGCAGGGAGGAAAAAGTATGTGAACCTTTGGACTTAATAACTGGTTGACCCTCCTTTGGCAGCAATAACCTCAACCAAACGTTTCCTGTAGTTGCAGATCAGACCTGCACAACGATCTGGAGTCATTTTGGACCACTCCTCTTCACAAAACTGTTTCAGTGTAGCAATATTCTTGGGGTGTCTGGTGTGAATCGCTCTCTTAAGGTCATGCCACAGCATTTCAATCGGGTTGAGGTCAGGACTCTGACTGGGCCACTCCAGAAGGCGTATTCTGTGCTGTTGCAGCCATTGTTTTGTTGAATTACTTGTATGCTTTGGGTCATTGTCCTCTTGCATCACCCATCCTCTGCGGAACTTCATTTGGCGGACAGATGGTCGTACGTTTTCCTAAGTTCCTGCAAAATTTCTTGATAAACTCTGGAATTCATTTTCCCATCAATGACAACAATCCGTCCAGGCCCTGAAGCAGCAGAGCAGCCCAAAACCATTATGCTCCCTCTGCCATGTTTTACAGTGGGATGAGGTTTTGATGTTGGTGTGCTGTGTCTTTTTTTCTCCACACATAGTGTTGTGTGTTCTTCCCAAACAACTCAATCTTGGTTTCATCTGTCCACAGTATATTTTGCCAGTAGTGCTGTGGAACATCCAGGTGCTCTTTTGCAAACTTCAAACGTGCTGCAATATTCTTTTTGGACAGCAATGGCTTCCTCCGTGGTGTCCTCCCATGTACTCCATTCTTGTTTAATGTTTTCCTTATTGTAGATGTGTCAACAAAAATGTTAGCATGTGCCAGAGATTTCTGTAGGTCTTTAGCTGACACTCTGGGATTCTTCTTTACCTCATGCAGCATTCTGCGCTGTGCTCTTGCAGTCATTTTTACAGGACGACCACACCTAGGAGAGTAGCAACAGTGCTAAACTTTCTCCATTTGTAGACAGTCTGTCTTACGGTGGACACATGAACATCAAGGCTTTTGGAGATACTTTTGTAACCCTTTCCAGCTTCATGCAAGTCAACAATTCTTGATTGTAGGTCTTCTGAGAGCTCTTTTCTGCGAGGCATGGTTCACATCAGACAGTGCTTCTTGAAACCAGTAAACCCAAAACAGGTGTGTGTTTTTTTAAGGGCAGGACAATTGTCAGCAACACATCCAATATCTTCACACTGATTGGAGTCAAGGTTGGCTCACTCCTGGCTCCAATTAGCTCTGGGAGAAGTCATTAAGCTAGGGCCTCACATACTTTTTCCTCCCTGCACTGTGAATGTTTACATGTTATGTGCAATAAAACCATGGCAACATCTAATGTTTGTGTAGTATTATGTTCAGCAGACTGTGTTCTTGTATTGTTGTGACTTAGATGACGTTCAGAGCACATTTTATGCCCAATTCATGCAAAACTCCAGGTAATCCCAAGGGGTTCACATACTTTTTCTTGCAACTGTATATAGTTTACTGAATGTAGTTAGAGGCTTGTTAGAAGCCTGGGTGTGAGAGAGAGGATTACTACAGGTTTATCTGGAGGCTTATACAGGTCAGTCCTTTGGTACCTTCCCCTGCTCTAGAAGTCGGTAGACAGAGGTGAAGAGGGGCTGATCTGCATATTTATAAAAGTTTTACCAATCCCAAGCAGGAGGCCTGGCAGTGTGGCAGATTGGCTCATAAATATGACAGAGCTTGGCCAGCAGGGGAGTAAGGTGGAAGATAGAGGATTGAAGTGCTGCTGTGTAGCCTGGGATGGGGCCCTGGAGAAGGAGGTTCTGCCTCCAGGTTGGGTGA